CTGAAGACAAAATTTGCAAATTAATCAAATTCTGTACTTAAATCAACTGCGCACTGCAGTGACCACATCACTAAATGCTTTTTCGCCTCAATTTTCGTAAGCTGACAACGTCGAATAATACTATTCACCTTAAAGCAATAAATTAAGCAATAAGAATTCAAGCTTAGTTCACAAGCTCCTTGATGACGAATGAAGTCACTGGATACAACTTGCTAGTGGCTGTATCAAGCGTAGGCCCTCATCTTTTGATTCAAAAGATCAGTTCTTCATGCGCAAATACTGCGCAGCTTACACTCTTACGCCCTCAGTTATTTTGAAAATATCAAGAGTACATTTCTTGCTCATAATCTCAAGTACGCATTAAAAGTTGTCAGATTACTCTTCACCGTTGGAAGTGAGGCAATATGAAATCAACCTTGTCTTTGTATCTCATAGCAACACCTCGACCGACAGTTCCTTCACCAAAAATGAAATATAAAAAATGTAAACACTGCGTCTGGCGAGATACATTACGAAACACAATAACGTGAGTCCCGTTAACCGTCAGATCTAATGGTGGAGAGCAATCCATAGAAGCAGTAAATCGCTGAAAAGTCATATCTTGCATCCATAATATTTCTTAATATCAATTCACGTGTGACAACAATTGGTTTTGCCTGCAAAATTAAAAGGCGTAAGTTCAAAGATTAACATCACTCAGCCCTTCCTTATACTTTGTAGGACTTGTAGTACAGTACACCACAGAACAGACAGATGTTACTGTGCAACAGTGCGTGAAAAGCTTTTAGTAGTTTTCCGGAGTTGAAGGAATTACCAAAGTTTTAGCGTAGTTCTTTGAAACTTCAAATTCTTCGAAGGCAATTACACTTGCGAGCAGGCAAAGGACTACAAGCAACTGCTTCATGACTAGCACGTAGTCTGCAATGAGTGGCATTAGCAGTTAGTTCTAGTTTTATCTTACTTAGATTCGCAGACACATTACCTTCGATGTATGCAAATGTGCTTCACTCCAAGAGTCACTGCCATCTCGCTGTAGGCAACACTTCCAGCACGATTGAACTAAATATCAGTTCATTCGTTGGCTACTTCTGAATATGTTGGGGAATATTGCTCTCACTCGCGCTTTTTTTCACGTTAAGCATGAGTGATATGGTTATGAATGAGCATGGATACAGTAGTCTCAATAACGATGAAAAGAATTTTTACGGTATTCTAAGCTTCTATTTTTAGGCATTGTTTTTGGCAAAATAAACTAAAAGAAGTCCGCGTAAACTATCATGAAATGTGCCAAAATCTAATAAATTCAACAGGAAAGAATGCATACAAAACGTTTTTGAACTGCGATCCAAATAATGCGTTCCTATTTCCTGTACACTATTGCTGCGTATTTTCAATAAATGCCTAAAGAAATGCGAAAAAAAATGATACGAGATTCAGAATACATGCTAGAAGTAGAAGCAGTGTTGATTCAGCAATTTTTTTATGGCATATTACAGAGGAAGGCAAATTATAAGTTATGGAAATGTTAAAAGTAATTATGTATATTTTGCCGAGATCAAATACTGCACTTTTGTTGTAAGTTTCACGTAGGTCAAATACTGCATCATTGTTGTAAATGTTGCCTTCATCAATATTGCATTTATTATTTTATGAAACTCATTAAATAGAAATATTAGAGCAATAAATATCAAGTCCAGCAAAATCTGTAAACGAAACAAAAACTTTGCTAGTTCAGTCACACAGAGAAAACAAAACAAAAAAAACAATCATCACGATCCTCCATTTCAGGTCGATGATTCTCATGAGCATAACACGAATACAGAAAATATCCGAATTGGTTTCAACTTCTGTAAAATTTGATTATGAAAAATGGCACGGCCTTGAGAAAAAAATCTTCTGAGTAACCTTATGAAAAAAAACTACCATGCAGCAAATCTGAATTGTCAGCTAAATTGTCAAGATTTATATCCAAATAGTACATAACTTCGGCACACCAAAAGAAAGCATCAATTGCACAGCAATAATTCTCGTCAAATGGAACTTCAGAAGTTTTCAGTTCTTCCCCACATTTGTTCACAAATAAATAGGCTAATGTATACGATGCGGAATTTGAAAATCCCCTGAAAAACACATTTTCGATTGGTTCCCTAGTTCCAAAACCTTTTATACCTGAAGTTACTTACTGAAGTAAAAATGTCCCATAAATTGAAGCCAAACATAATTTATGCAATTCTGCTTTGTGGAACAATAATGAATACAAATTATGTCCGAACAAAGTAATTAGCTAATTCATTCAAATTCATAAGCCTTGACTTGATCTTCTATCAGTTAAAACACATCAACATCCACAATACCACGGTTGCAAATGTTCAACTACCAAAGCAACAGCATCACCACGAGCATCGTGTTCATCTGTTTCTTGTGAGGCAAACAAACGGAACCGAACGGCAGACCTGCCTTCATTTTCGGGAATTGTCTTTACAAACTTCTTTACAAGTAATGAAACTACATAATTTACGATTCATTCAATAGCATTTGACAAACCTGATTCATCTCCAAATTCCTCACTTTAAAGATCATACACGAAAACATGATATAACAGTGAGAATTCAACGACTACATAGTCGATGTATTTTTCACAAGGTCGTCTTGTTCATACGCATATGTTCGTTGTTCATTCACAAGTCAATGACTTGTATTGTGTAGCGCCACAATGCTATCAAGAAATGGCAAGAGTGGAGAAGAAGTCAATGGAGTGGAAGACAAGCATAGAGACAAGCTTGAATAACCAGAAAACTTTCCTAGGGCAGTAACTAGTGGTAAAACGCTTGAAGGGAAGAAGCTAAGGGAGGCAAGAAGTTTATGAAAAGCATGATTCTCGTCCTAGCTTTTAAGCGTGTCTGTCATGAAGATTTAAGCATACTGACAGCGCGTGGGAACTTGTGAAAATAAAGTTCAAAGTTGAGTCCCGATGTGCATTCAAAATTCCAAACGCCAGATTTCAGCGGTTCCATAGAAATCTGACTGAAAACAGCCTGTCAGCCACAATGTACGTACACTTTTGGAGTACGATGTAGAAATTAGGAATAAGAAAGAATGACGATATCCAATTCAACGAATATCTGGAAGAACTCGTTCCAGTCACTTTACCAGCTGAAGCTGAATTTGGAAAGATAGTTCCCTACTTGCTCAGTTGGATGGCAGCAGAGCCTGATGAAGTCTCTTACTTCTTTAATAGGAAGTGTACCTCTTTGCGTCCAGACTTGTAGAAATAATATTAAGACAAAAATTGCCTGGATTGGGAGGGACAGGATCCGTGGATTTAAAGAACTACCTGCGTGATTCCAAAAGGCGTCCAATGTAAAGGCAGCCACTTCATGCCAATAATTCATTTATTGTGCGAATTGACAACGAAATATGTGGCGTGGGGCACGTCTCATGCAGATGAATGCTGTCATGAGGGGACTGCTTGCAAACAGCCAATTGGGAACTATTGTCTAGGTTCAAGGTACAAAAGAGCAGGCCACTGTTAAACCCGGCGGTTTGCTGAGAGCATGGAAACCAGCTAAACTAAATTGTATTACATTAGAAGGAGCAATCGATCCGAATACCTGATTGAATACAATGAAAGGTTTAGTGTGCCATCGTGGGTAAGCAGGTTTCTGAGAAGCATGCCATACAGATGGGTAGCTGTACTAAAAGTCGATGGATAAAATATACGAGAAAAAATACATTGAAAATTCTCCAAAGTGATAGTCTCACTTCGCTGCTATTCCTGTTGTGCAGGAAGCCGTTAAGCAGTAGACTTAATATAAGCTACGCAGACGTGGCGATTCTCAACAATCAAGGAATGCGTATCATATATTATTTGCCATCGACGAAGATATCATGGAAGCTATGGCCCAAGAAGTCCAGAGGTTCTTTGAAATAGTACGGTTAGAGGTGAATCCAACGAAGTCAGTCACTAATCTTGAAGTATGCACTGATAAGGTGGTACCCTTGGAAAAAACTTAACGGTATAAATACCTTGGCATAATAGAGGACAGTACTAGCACTCCGACTCGGGATAGCTACGATAAAGTGCGAGCGGAGATTTTGGCGAGAATTGAACGATTAGCCAAAACTGCACTAAACGACAAGAACTTTATCAAGGCAGTAAATTCTCATGTCATAGGATTAATAGACTATTATACTGGGGTGCTCAAACTGGAACCAGGAGACTTCAGAGGAACTGACCATGACAGTTATCAGGTAGTTACTAATTAAATACGGAATTCACATGCAACCGGCATGTTTGGAGGGACTGTACCTACAAAGGGATGAGCTAAGACATGGGCTTCACTGCGCTGAACAATGGAGTGAGCTTAAGCTTCTGCAACTTCATAACGTACTTGTAGAAAGTGCACCCATATCTACCAGGAGCTGGAAGAGATTCACATGTACTTAGCAGTTATTGTGCTCTACCATCAGACTAAATACAACGTCACAGAAAATCCAACCGTCAAAACTTCTAGAGTCAGCTTACAAATGAATCATTTCTACACACAATCTATGGACAAAGTATTCAGCTATTTCTAAGCCACAAAAACATGAAGTCAGCATCAGTCTGCAGCAAAAGTGGTATTTTCACTTTTATTGACTAAAATTACACCTGCATAAGCTTCCCGCAACTAGACGTTGCATTCAGTGAAACTGACATATAACTTAGACGACATATAACGGTTGACCATAAAGCTATCATAGAGTGCTCAAGTTGATGTCAGTGCCTTAACTATATACACGGCCGTATATGGCATTGACGCTTTTTTCTTGCGCTCGAGTGTATTTGTGTCTTCGAGTTTTATTGCTCTGAAAGTTTAAAAATCTCCTGCTGCTGTATATTCATGTATTCTAAAAAACAGAATCACCTATGACACTCCTGATGTCCAAGGAGTGGCATGACACTAATCCTCCATGTGTTACTCTTCGAATGACCACAAAATCAAACAATTTTTTTATGCGAAACCCATGCAGATTTCGAATTAAATCATCACCCTGTGATCAGCAACCTAATTTGAGGGCAAAAGTTCAAACATAGTGGTCAGACATTTTGATCTTATGAGCATAAATACAGCAATGAATAGTTTGATGCTCAACAGAAACTACAGAAATTACACTTCAAACTTCCACCACATACCTTAGAACATTCTCGGATTAGATTTGTAATAATTAGGATTACTGCAAGTGCGTACAGTGCGATGAGAATATATTCACGAACACCAATTTCGATTTCTGCAAAATATCACCTCAACACTTTCACATCACAATGATGGATATCCGATCACAAAGCCATGAAAAGCATCCTTCATATGGAACAGCTTTGTTCAAACTTTATCAAGTTGGAAACTGCCTCTAAGAACCGTAATATTAAGTCTTAAGTGGTACTCGAGTGGATTCATAGCGAACGATTGAAAGCAATGCAGAATTCATCTGGAGAGATCTGCCTCCTGCAGTACTAGCAAAA